AGGTGTCGGTGATGGGCCATAATAATCATATACATTGTATATTGACAAAATAAAACTTTAACGAAAGAAAAAAAAAAGAAAGGGCAGTAACATACAAATAAGAAATATAATTGTACCTTTAAAAACCCTTGATAAACATACAGGTTATATTATCATACATAAAATAAAAAAAAGGAGAGAAGTGCTGTGCACGGGAAAGGAAAGCAGGAGGGATGGGAGAGGGGGGGTTGGATGAGAGGTGACCATTTAAATGGAACAGTCAGGACAAATCTCACTGAGAAGGTCATGTTTGAACAGAGAGCTGAAGGCGGAGAGGGGATGAGCCAGGAGGATGTCTCCAGGGGAAGAGCATTCTGAGCAGAGGGAACAGACAGTGCCAACGACTCGAGGCAGGAGCTTGAGCCAGAGTCAAGTACCAGCAGGAGGCCAGCGTGGCTGCTGCAGTGCAGAGAGAGCAAGTCAGAAGACTGAAGAGATGAGGCCAGATAAGGAAAGGGGGCCAGAATGCATAGGACCTTGTGTGCCATTCTGAGGGCCTGACTTCTCCAAGAGACAGACACAGGGACTTTGGACAACTTTGAGTACAAGAGTGGCATGACCTGAGATGTTTTAAAAGGTTCACTCTGGCTGCTGTGCTGTGAAGACTGAGAAGCAAGATCAACCATGATGGTTAATTTTTGGTGTCAACTTGAATCGGTTACGGAATATATAGAAACTTGCTGAAGCATTATTTTGGGGTGTTTCTATGAAGGTATTTCCAGAAGAGATTAGCATATAAGCCTGAGTGGACTGGCTCTTTGCTAGTCCCACCCTCAATATGGGCGGACACCATCTAATCCACTGAGAGCCCAAAGAGAACAAAAACAGAGGGAAAAGCGAATCTCTCGCTTTATTCCACTGGAGCTGAAATACACTCTTCTTCCTGTCTATGGACATTGAACTTGAGACTCTTCAGCCTTTGGGTCCTAGGACTTATACCAGTGGTAGCCTTGGCTCTCAGGCCTTTGACTTTGGACTGAGAATCACACCATCAACTTCCCTGGTTCTGAGGCTTCCAGTCTTGGACTGAGCCACACTGCTGGCATCCGGTTTGCAGATGGCCTGTCGTGGGACTTCTCAGACTTCACACTCACATGAGCTAATTCCCTTAATAAGTCTCCTCTTACATATTTATATACATATCCTATTGGTTCTGTGTCTCTGGAGAACCCTAACACATCAACTAAGAGGCTATTACAGCCATCCAGGCAAGAGATGTAAATGGCTTGGACCAGTGTAGCCGCAGTGAGTGGAGTGAGCAATACAGGCTAATAGACCTCCCTGCAATGACGGAAATATTCTGTGTCTGCACCATTCAATGCCATAGTCACTGGCCACACATGGCTATTAAGCACTTGAAACGCAGCTGGTGCGAGGAAGGACCTGAATTTTTAAATATAATTTTTGCTCTAGTTTTCATAAGAACTCATAAGAGTTCTTACTTAGGCCATTCCTTTTTTTTCCCCCTCTTTTAACATTTTTATTAATTTTTAATTTAAGTATGAATAGTCATAGTTGCTCATTGTACAACATGAGGAGTGAGAATGGTCTGATTCCAGATCTAATTAAAAATACACGATTCACTAATGGACTGGAGGTGGAGGTGGAGGTGGAGGTGAAAGAAAAAGGTCCAGGATGACTCCGAGGTTTGGGTCCTTACAGAGCTGTAGTTGCTAGTGCCTGAGAGGGAAGGCTGAGGTTGGGACTTGGGGAAGCGGGTTGCTAATTCCTTCTGGATGTGCCCTCTAAGCCTGCGAATGGGAGTGGTCAGTAGGCTGTCGGCCGGTGAGTGTGCAGTTCATGTAAATTTGAG